AGGTATTGCCTTATTTAACATAGTTACCCAAATTGTCAGGAAACGTGATGTCCTATGACAAAATGGAGGTCATTTTCGGATTCAGTGCACCAAAAAACATAAAGATCACGTGGAATAACCAAAACAGCTCTTGAAAAGAATTTTTTTGCAGACCTGTGATCTAACAAGCTGCTTTTGTTATTAAGATTTTCCAAACATTCAATCTCTCTCCCTCCTCCACTCTCTCACTCTCCTTCCCTCCCTCTCTTTCTGCTCCCTCTCTCCTCCACATAAGAGAAGCTGTAAGAACGACCTCTTCTCCCCTATCAACACTGATTGATCCTTAAATGTGGAGGAGATTGACAATATATTGTGCTCGTCACTCTTAACCTCTGGAGCTGGTCCAAAAAGATTTCATGGAAGATAGTATTGAAGGCTGATGGGAGATCAAGAGAAGCAAGGAGAAATACTGCCACCCTGATTCTTCTAGTGGTCATCCAGGAATGTGACCAATTCCTTCTCAGTTCCATACTGAATCTCAACTGCGAGGGGACTGCATGATCCACTTCTTACAGGGCCCTCTGAAGCTTGCCTTAAAAAGACAGGGCAAAGGTCCCTTTCCACTTCCTAATGGGATCATGTTTGCAATGGCATATGTCCGTGTCTGCTTTTTTTGCTGCACTGATCGTGTTTACAAGAAGACTTGATCCCAATCTGTAGTTAGTTAATCATTTAGAAAGAAGTTTTTCATCACACCCAGTATAGCTGTCCATATAACATTGTTTCCAAAATATTTGGAAATGCACTTATATAAGCTATGAGTCTAATTTTATTCTTGGCCCTATATTCATTACTTAAATACACGTGATTTAATGTAATGGATACAAATTAGGAGCAAAACCTTTGATTGATATAAGGATAGGAAAAACAGCATGTTTTTTTCTTTCACAAAGTTTGGTTAGAGGCTAGGAAGATAAGTAGCTTGTCTGTCCTCACAGGCGAAGAGTCAACCAAGGAAGACAGCTAGTTCCCAATCTTGTGTCTTAAAACTCAAGGCAATACTTCCTTTTTCCTGAGCTTGAAGTCATTTCGCATTTCTATTGATATCTGAAATCTCTGTAGCTCAGCAATGTGTTCTTGGTGCCAGACAGGCAGCCACACATCTTGATCAAATAGATTAGTTTTCCCTTGTGGTTATGATTTAGTTTTTAAAAGAAACCGAATAAAGGACATTTCAGCAATGAAGACTTAGCTGGGTGTCAGATGTGTTGAGTAGGGTTTTCTCATTCTTTATTGTTAACATGAACTGAACGGATAACATTCTTGCCTCGTTTTTTTCCCTTTCTTACTACATTTTTTTATACATGCTTTGTGTCTGTATATAGAAAATTTTAGCATAGATTTTTCAATTTTAAA